TACGTTCCCTGTCCTCTCGTCCCATATTTAGCTGAAAGGGTTGATTGGCGCACAGAGCGCCTTGGAATTCCGGTGCTTCCTTTCGCAGTCTCCTACCTGCAATTTTGTTGACAAATTGTTTTCTGTCTTGCTTACAGGACCTGTTCTTTCTGTTCAGACGGATAATGCTTTGTTTCTTTTCATTTTTTTTGCAGTTCTTTAGAAAAAAAAAAGAGGAAAAATATAAGTAAATAAGATGAAATGTCATCCTTTGTGATACATGTGCAGTTTTCCAGTTGTTAGAGAGACATTCGCTTTGAAATATAGTAGATTTCTTATTTTAAAATTTTGAAAAAAACCTCTTGATCTTTTTTATTCGATCTTCATCCAGTGAAATCTGTTTTTCTCAATATTACAAAATTACATGGAGTTAAAATGAATATATCTATCATTTATAGTTGGTTGAAACGGTTGGAAAGACTGGTGCACGATCAGTGTTCGTTTCGAGCGATAAAGATCATATGATTGAGACGATAAACGAGGCTCTACAAGCTTATGATGTGAGTTTATCGCGTTCCTATTTTCTAATACAAAGAGAAAAGAATTTTAGTCATAAAGTATAAGAAAATTTTCCATTATATATGAATATTGTTCATCTCGATGATCTGAATTGCCCTTTTGAAATGAGACAAATGCTTTAGGTGCAAGCCTATCGACTGAATCCGGATGATCCTTTCGTCTCATTGGCCATTCTTGGTAAAGCTGACCACTTCATTGGGAACTGCGTATCTACTTTCTCTCACATCGTAAAGCGTGAGAGGGATAACAGAAAGCAGCCTATGCCAACTACTTATTTTGGTATAAGAGACAGGAGTAGACGACTGGAATTGTGAATAAATTGCTAGTTACTCAGGTTGTGAGAATAGACAGATTGTATAAATGCAAATAATGCGGACTTTGATCCTCAGGACTGTGATTTCCATGATGTTTGTTAGTCTACATTTGAATCGATCTTAATTGCTGCTACATG